TAAATTCAGACAAAAAGTTTATGATCAGTTATGGATAAAAGTAAAACATTGAACTAAACCACTGTTTCTGGTAAACAGTAACTGACTCAGGATATGACACTTGTCTTACAGACTTTTCTATTTTGTAGAATTTGTTGAAACTAAATTAGCAAAGCCCTAATTAGTATGGGCCATTTGCCATGATATAAAAATAGTTTCATACAATACAACACAACTCTATTTTATGTGAAATCTTTTAGGTAGAAAATAAAATTCCAGACAGTTCATAATTTACCTCAAATGTTCATCAAAATAAAGTTAACTTCCACATTATTAGATGGCTAAATATTTTCTAAATTTTGATCTTTTTAGTGTCATTCAATACCATAATCACCATTGTTCTGATTGCTAGAGATAAAAATATGTAAAACAACTTCTTATCCTCAAGAAATTTCTATTTTAGGTGGTAGAAGTATGATTTCCATTTTTGTGGGAAATCACAGAACATAAAAAAATCAGTCAACCTGTAATTGGACTTGCATGTTAAAGTATTACCAATATTTGAAAGAATGTATCTACTGGCAGGGACAATAATAGCATCCACAAATGTAAGCATTAAGATTTTGAATTTAATTTTCCTAGCTATTTTGGCATTGTGATTAAATCACTGTACTTTATCCTGATTAAGCAACTGGCACTCATAAGACCAAATTGCAAGTAAAAACTTCAATATGTTGAAGATGAACTCATTGATTTTGGCATGCATCACAACACTCCAAGATGGTATACCATCAACTCTCATTTAAAAAAAAATTTAGATTCAGAAGGCTCATGTGCAGGTTTGTTACCTGGATATACTGTGAAGCTGTCAACGCTCCTTTTAAGTTCCTTCAACATGTTCTAATGGTGGATAGAATCGGTTTATCAGACAGTCTGTTTTAAATATTTAAGTCTTCTCTGGTCAATGTCCAGGAGTGTGAACTCTTCTCTGGTAAAGCTCATGTCCTACTGATACTGCCAGAAGTTCAATATGTGTTTTTAGATTAGTGTACAAGGTTTGGTTTTTCCCTCTCAGCTATTGGCTTCCAGGAGGTTAAGTATGAGACACTGAGAAGCTTAATTGTTTAAAAAAGGGCTACATTAGTCATCTCAATCCCATTCAAGTGTAGATGCCAAAAAAAAAAAAAAAAAGGTGTTTTAGGCAATTCTTAACTTTTCAAAAACAAAATGAGTTTTAGAATGTGTACCAAAATTACTCAAAGTAGTATTAGTTTGCTTTACTAACTTTTTATACTGATCCATGGTTCTTTATAATTAAGTCCTTAAAGTTACTCTTACTGAGAATCAGAAAAAACAAATGCTTCAAACAAGTGAAAAGTCATATGGAACTGGTATTTAATACAGCATACAGTAAAGACGGAGTGAGTTGGTAATCAAGTTACACAATTACTCAAAAAAGATATAGGGGCTTTCAGTTAAAAAGAAATAAGCATCAGTTAAGTCATATTTGTCACCACATAGGCTTTCCCTACCACTTTGGCATAATATGAAGAACTCACTAGGAAAAACTTCATTAATTCAGAATGATCAATGGAAAGTATACTTCCAGTTGCATGGAATTTATGAAAAAACGTGAACTCAATTACTCTCTTAAATATAAGTTCCTGGTGATTTTATCTAATGAAAAGAGAAATAATTTCTGGTTAAGAGATCTCCTTTCAAAAAATTGACAATTTGTTCTCTTAGGCACAATGGTGTCCTAAAATTGTTAATTCAATTATAAAAACATGAGGATAGACAAACAACTTACACCTTTTTAAGCAGACATTACAAAGGAAAAAAGCTTTATCCCACCTTCTTTTCCAAATTATATTTTCCAGGTTAATAGAGTTTAACCATCACACAAACGAGATTCATTTAACAGGAAGACTTTTAGATTGTAAATTCTTCTTCACTAGCTTGGAATATTACCTCAAAAGTGTGAAGACCCCATCTAGATTCTCTATTTTATGCTATATAAGCCTACCTTCAGAATTTTGAGCTTAAATATGGATCCTTTTTTGTGATGTGTTTACCCACTTTGTGTTTACCTGGGGGAGCTATTGACTGGGAGAGGGTAACAAGGGAACCTTCTGCGACACTGAAAATGCTTTGTATGTTAATCTGGGTGGTGGTAACACGGGTGTATACAGAAGTAAAATTTCATCTAGCTGCGCATTTAAGATTGTGGACTTTACGGTATACGTTATACCTTTAGAAGTAAAGAGTGTTTACCCACTTTATGAAATGCCTACCAACTATACACAGTGAATCACTCATATGATTTTGTAAATCAAGATGTATACGGAAAAAAGTCATCTGATGCTCCTCGCATAAGGATTGCTAGTCACTTTCAGGTAAACAACTGAAGCTAGAGTAAAGGCTTCAGTGTTGAGAAGGCACTAACACACTATCTGAAATGGTGGCAGGAAGATTATAATGTATCAGTTTAAGTATAAAGGGTAGCAGTGTTATAACAGCTTAAACAACAACTAGAACATCCCCAAGTAAGTTACACGACTATGGCGTCATCGTTGGATTTGTGATAACCTATGCTTCTTATTTCTGCTTACGGTTTGGGTTTCTGTCTTTGTATTGCTTGGACTTTCAAAGAATGGAGAAAGAAAAGAATGAAAGTTAAATTAGTATTGTTGTTTTTAGTGTGCTAAACAGTTGACATTAGGACTGATTTTAAAATTATGCATTCTACTTCCCATGTATTAAAGGAGAAAAGAGTTGTTTATCCAGAAAACATAAACAATTAACATACGTCTTTTTTTAAACTTTTGCTTGGAACTACATTAATTATGATCACCTCAAAAAAAAAAAGCCTTTGAGAGGATTAGCTGCATAGGCCAATATTATTCTATATTAGTCTGTATTAAGCGTATGACGTCACCTTGCTGCCTCCCCTTCTCAAGCTTTTCTTTCGGGTGGAAGGAGGACTTCTTTTGGGGAAAATCTTAAAATATTATGGCTTAAATACTACAAGCTGACACAAGATTGACAACCTTACACTCCCAAACCTGTTTGAAATGGGTCAAATACCTAAGCGCTGCAGAACAATGCAATCCAACCCGCAATTCCCCATAAAAGAGAAAGGGGGTGTGATTCGGTTCCAGTTATTAAGCAAGTTACTGTAAAAACAGTTTGGTGGTTTTGTTTCTGAAATAGGCACAGGTTGAGCTAGTATTTTTTCCCCCCTTAATTAGCTCCAAAAAAGACTATGCTATAGGAGGTAGGATAAACCGCTAAAGCAGGAAGCAACTGGGGCAAACATTCAGGGCTTTATGGAGGTCCTGATCCTGATCCTCTGCATTGGTTATTGATCATCAACCCTGCTGGGGAACTATCGAACGGAATTTGTGTGAGGCTTATCGAGCCACAGGAAAGGAGATGCAGGAGGGAATATAAGCTTCTAATAAAAGAAACGCAGCAACAATAGCAGAGGAACAGCTCTGCCTGGTGACGTAATGGCTGGCAGCAGTCCAGCTTCAGTAGAGCTGCTGCTACCTCAGCACCCAACCTCCCTCCACACAGTCCGGCTTCAGCAGAGCCACCGGGGCTGTTACTTTTTGCGAAGGCACTTTGTTGATGCCACCAACGCCTTACCTCGGAGGGCCAGAACCGAACAAAGGGTTCCTTCCGTTGCTGTTTTAAGTTCTTTGACACACACACTCTCACCCCCTAGCCCCGGACCCCTCAGTAACCGAGCCAATCAGTCGCTTAAGTTTAGGGCGAAAACACCGGCTCACATTCCAGGTGTGCCTCAGTTTCCCCAGGCTGGTTTCGACGACGCCTCTCATTGCCCACCCCCCGCCCCCGCCGGTCCTCAGCGGGAGTTGATCCGGGCGGCCCCGCGCACCCGCCCGGGCCCTGCATGCCGGCCCTCCCGCCTTACCTCCGCCAGGTAGAGGTTGAGGAGACAGAGCGTGGAGAACTGGAGACAGGAGGGGAAGCAGTAGAGCAGCCAGTGGGGGAAGAAGTGCAGGTGAGCGGGCGGCCGGAGCAAGGGCAGGGAGCCGCTGAGCGAGAAGGCGGCGGAGAAGAGGGTGGTCCTGAGCGCTGCCCACAGGAGACAGAGGAAGAGGCAGAGGCTCTGGTAACTCAGCCGCCGCTCGCGGTAGAGGAGCAGCCGCCACAGCTGCAGGTAAGCAAAGGCGAAGAGCGCGGCGTAGAGCAGGGCGTGCAGGACGCTCAGCGCCAACTGCACGGAGCCCGGCACCGCGGCGCCTGAGGCGGCAGCTACGGCGCCTCCGCCTCCGCCGCCCCCGCCGGGCGTGGAGGGCTCGCGGCCGGCCGCGGGGGCGGCAGCGGCCGCCGGACCCGGCACTGACACCCTCATCAGGGGGCGGAGGGTCGGGCGAGCGAGCGCGGGAAGGAAGGGGCTGGACTCGGAGCCGCCGTCGAAGGGGAGAAGGACTGCCCCCTTACCCCCCACCCACCCCAACCTCTAACCCCAGGAAGCGCCGTGACGGGACGCGGAGTCCCGCGCAGAGCAGCCGCGGCTCCCCCCCCGACCCCGCCTCCTCTTTTCCCCACCCCCGCCGGGGGTCTCGGCTCCGGCAGCGGCTCGGCTCCGCAGCTGCAAAAAACAACTCTCGGCTGGAGACAATCAGCTGAGAAACCCGAGCATTTGAGGCGCTCGCTCCGCACTGTGGGCTCCCGCCGATTGGCCCAGGCGGGCACGCCCCCCGAGCGCCGCACTCGGAAGGCCACTGGCCGCAGGACCCGTCGCTCGATGTCCCCGAGATCTGATTGGGCACCTACTTTCCCTACTTTCTCCCTCCCCGTTACTTCTCATCCGCGCTGCTGATTGGCCCAGCTACTGCACCGCCCGTTCGCGCCGGCGGGAGGACTCTGTAATCGTCTGTCACTCTCGCTCCGCCCCCGGCGCTTCCCATTGGTTAGAGAGTCCCTCGCGTAGGGAGCACGAGGAGAAGGAGGAGCTTCGCGGTTTGTTTTTTGCTCTAGAGGCCGACTCTGCCGAGCGGGTGGTGGCCGCAGGCTGGGTGGGAGCGGTGCCGCGCCTTCGCAGGTAGGCCAAGTGATTCTCGGCTGTCCGGCTAGCGTGGCACGGCCTCGCCTTCTGCCTCCTCCGTCGTGTCGCGGCGGGAACTGTTGGCCGCGCGGCCTCGGGAATGGCCCGGGTCCCCGCCCGCAGATCCTGGGCAGGTAGGTGACAGAGCGGGTCCTTCAGGCTGTGGGCTCCGCCTGCAGACCCGGGGGTTCAGACGAAGCAGTTTTCTGTAGCAGGGCTGTACTGCAGAGCTCTGGAGTCTGACTTAGGACACCCGCCTCTGGGGCATCGAAGGGCCTCACCTGGAGCTTCCTGAGGGAGTTTTACCTTCTCTTTTCGCTGCAGGAATGGCGGGAAAACACTGGAGCTCTTTCTGGGTCGAGGGGATGGAAACGGGCGACCGGGAGATCCGGAGCTCTTAAGTGAAAGACCCTTTCCTCCCAAGGGAAATGTCTCTTAAGGAAGAATGGTGGTAGTATCCGATCGATGTTGAAGCGATCTGTGACTAAGGGGAAGCTGGTTCTTTGAAACTTAGAATTTGGGAGGATGCTCTGGGCCTAAGGTTTGGGGAAAAGGCAGAAAGAGACTTGTAAGTCTGACGATTGCCTGGAAAGGAAAAATATTCTATGCTGTTTAAATTCCACATATATTGAAGCCTTGGACCTGTGTATGGTAGACGGTGGCGCTATTCCTGGGGCTCAGAGAGAAAAATATATGCTATGTTACTGCTGTGAAGAAGCAAGGAATAAACAGGTTGACTAACGTATATTGGACCAGCACATAGTTGTTGACTGCTTTTCTTCCCTGTTTGGGAATAAAGTTAGCAAATAATGCAAAATTAAGAGGAAATAATTTGTTTTCTTTAGAATATACAGCACATTATGAATTCAGTATCCTTTGAAAGACATTCATTGCTTGGAGCAACCAAGACCCAGCTTTTCTTACTTCACCATCCTTTGTCCTATGCTTTTTTTTTTTTCTTTTTTCTTTTTTCATGCAGGGTCTCGTTCTGTCACCCAGGCTGTAGTGACAGCTCACTGCAAACCTCCACGTCCTAGGCTCAAGCAGTCCTCCCACCTCAGCCTCCCAAGTAGCTGGGACTACAGGCACGTGCCACCGTGCCCGCCTAATTTTTTTTTTTTTTCCTATATGTTGTCCAGGCTGACCTTTTCCCGATGCTTTGCCCAAGAAGAGTGTTGCTTTCTTTTTTCCTGGCTAAGTATTCCACAGGGAACTTTAAAGTCCATTTCGTACTCTAGATTCTGAGACAGTAGTTTGTCCAGGTACCAGATGCTAGTGTGGTTTGGGTTCCTTATAGGTATGCTGACAATCCGTGGTAGATATACAGGCATGGCACTGTTACATAGACATCTCTCAGATGAAGCATTCAGCTGAGCAGGTAGAGAGTGCAGTGTACCAGAGGGTACGACTTGCTCTAAGAAGTTAACAGGCCGAATCCAACTTTTATCATTTGGAGAAGGATTCATTTTTATTGGAACCTAAGAACTTCATCTCATGTATTTTTAGAGAATGTGATCAGGGCAGTACACAGTTTTCTTCAAATAGGAGACAGGATGCTCATGACGGCAGTGAGGTCATTGATTGCAGTAATGTGCTGAAGCATTTAAATTAAGCATAAAATCAGAGTTCTGTGATTTTAGGCACTTGTCAAAATCAAGGGTGCCACGTATTCTCTGGCATGGCCTATTTGCATCTTCTGTAATCATTGAGGTGCACATTTCAAGTCATCAGTAGACTTTTATTACAAAAGCATTTTTCTTTTTCTCCTTTATTCTCCGCTCAGAGTGATAGTAAACATCTGGATAGTACCCATATTAATTTTAGGTCTTTGCCTGTGAGACTTACCTACCACCTGCCATTCATCAGTAAGAGCAAGTCTGGATAGCCTCCTCCTTTCTGCTTTTTCTGGGGATGAGAGTATGTCTGGTGGGGTGGGGAGTGAGGGTGCACATAGAGGATTTTTCTCCTAACTGCTTTGAAAAGGCTCTAAAGGGGAGAGTTGTAGATTTCTTTTATTGCCTCTTTGGGTCTGAAATGATAAACTGTGTTGAGATTGAATCAACATTTTATTTGAGACTGGTTCAGTGAGCAGGTTCTGTTCTCCAGTAGCAGCATTAAACTGTAAGTAAGCTGACTTCAGACAGAATGTTCTTACAGGAACTTTGTAAGCATTATATGCTCCATTTGTTGCAAAATATGAAGTGTTTCTTTTTCCTGAGTATGATGCCCACAGATGTTGATACAAATTAATTTCCTCTTTTTCCTAAGAGGGAAAGCTATTAAATTTATGGTTCGTAAGGGAATATTAGGTCTGTAAAGGGGGAACTAACCAAGGGTTTCCTACAAAAGCTTGGTGTCAGCTATTCTAAAATTTAAACGTGCCCAAATGCATAAAGATTTAATATTGTTGTTCCAAGAGGATAGATGACCCTAGCACAGTAGTCTTTCAAACATTTAAAAACAGAACTGTTTGTCAGTTACTATCGTATACGGTACCCTATACCAAAATGGGATTGGTGGAGCCAATGAGAGCTACCAGCTTTTCTACCTGCCTAAGGACCACAAAGGCAAATCCTCATACTGTTTCCTTACTACCAAGAAGACTAGTGTTTTCTTTTGAAGTACTTCCTCCTTGATGTGCTTTGGAGCTTAATATTTGGATGCTGAAAAAACACACTTTTGTTGCCTTGAGCATTTTGTGTGCATGCTTTAGCCCTTTTCTACTGTTATCTCACCAAGCCATTCTTACAGTGCTGTTACCCTCTTATGTTAGTCCTTAGTTACATGTCACTCATTCTTTCTATTATTTAAATCAGCTGTGCATACATACTTCTTTAGAGTTAAGGGATGAGACAAAAGTTACATGTTATATGCCAACTCTGACCCATGCCAGCAGGAACATTATACTGAAGGATTGAGAGCCTTTTCCAACCCTAAGAGTCAATGTCAACATGTAGTTGGGAGGTGTATCTGTAGTATTGGCAGACATTCTGTAGTTATGGAAAACACTTACCTATGACTTTTCCCCTCTTTTGGTATTGGCATCTGTTGTGGTAATAGTCAATTGCATTTTAAAGAGTCATCTTCTTTAGAATCTTCCTACAGTGGAATTGGGTCAATTTCCTATGAATTCTTTGAAATACATTGCTTTAAAATCTAGGATATAGATTTTATGTTCAAGTCATAATCCTTTTACCCATTGCTAAGACCAGGTGTACTGATAGTGCTAGACTAGGTTATACTGTGGAAACAACCCCAAAACCTGAGGAGTTTAAAATAATTTATTTTATTTTTTATTATTATTTTTTTCTGAGACAGAGTTTCACTCTTGTTGCCCAGGCTGGAGTGCAGTGGCACTATCTTGGTTCACTGCAACCTCTGCCTCCTAGGTTCAAGCAATTCTCTTGCCTCAGCCTCTGAAGTGGCTGAAATGACAGGCTCTCGCCGCCATGCCCAACTAATTTTTTGTATTTTTAGTACAGACAGGGTTTCATCATGTTGGCCAGGCTGATATTGAACTCCTGACCTCAGGTGACTCACCTTCCTCAGCCTCCCAAAGTGCTGGGATTATAGGCATGAGCCACCATGCCAGGCCTAATAGTTTGTTTTATAGTCATGCTGGATCAGCTGGGAACTTTCCCCATGTTGTTCTCTTTCTGGGACTTGGGCTGACAGACAAGGCCTAATTTTGAGTGTTATCAGTCATCATGGCAGAGGGAAAACGTATTGTGATTCATTATACATGTATACTGACTCTTAAAGGCTTCCAGAAGTACATGTTACCTTGGACGTTTCATTGACCAAATCAAGTCATGGCTATACCTAAGTCATGGAAGTGAGAGGTACAATTTTAACGTGCAGAGAACGAGAAACATTTGAACAGCCCTCTCTTGTCAACAAATACTTTCCTTCCTATATGTAGTTCATTCTTAGCTTTTTTTGGTGGCGATAATTCAAAATTTCCATCTTCACTGTGTGAAGCCTAAAGTTCAGAATCTCTGAGTAATGCCCAGCAGTGGTCATCTCTATACTGGTCTAGATAGAATTTATTTGTTTCCCACCCCCTGTTGAATACATAAGGCAGTGTTGGGAGAGAGAAGTTTTTAAGTGTTTTCATTTGGAGAGAGGAAGAATGGAAGAGACACACCAGAATCTAGACTGTAGCAATCTACAGTTGAAATCTCTCTGGGAAGGTGTTTCCAGGGCTCTAGTTCTGTTCCCTGAGTTCTCTAGGCCAGTTTAAAGAACAACAATAACGTAACACAATAGACATGAATTACAGAAAAAGTGAAATAAAGAGCATCAAATTACAAGCCCAATTTAAAAATTATTATTAGATTCAACAAACATAAAATTACTGTGTGAAATTGCTATAAAATCTCCTAAACATTTACATTCCACTTCTGTAGTTATGTCATTTAGACCAGTAACAAATAGTGCCTACTCTGCACGTGCCCTACAGCATAGTTCTCCATGGTTCTTGGTTTTGCCCTGTGTGAGATTCTTACATTTTTATTACTCTTGACCACAACCGAAATATGGCCTCTTTCTGTGGCTGAGCAGTTTTGTCAGTTTGCTTTGTGACCATGGACAGGTGGGGGTGGGGTCTAAGGATTGTTTCAAGTTTTGAACATCTAGTCTTTTGGCTGGCAATTCTCTGAGTATTTTTCTTTTAATACCTTGTTAAACACCACTAACAGCAACCGCAACCATTACACAGTATTAATCTGTCTTCCAACCTCTTCTTTTAAGGCTATAAATAAGTTCATTAGCCACAGGAACTTAGGTACATATTCATTTATGTTAATCAGGTACATGTCATCTCTAAATTATTGTAGTGACAGTTTTATCAAATGTTTTGTCACTTGTTAATGTGGGTCACTTGCTGAGCTCTGGTCTCTGATAAATGTTTTCCTCAGTAGGCCCACAACAGTTTCTATGCTGTTTGGCTGCTAAGCCAGTGTTTTGGAGTTTTCGTTAAGGTGGCATCTCACTTCTAGTTTATACACAGGTTAAGATAGACTAGTTTATGCTGCTATGATAACTCCTGCCATCTCAGTGGCTTAAAACAGCAAGTTCTATTTCTTCCTATGTCACATGCTCATTACACCTTAGCTGGGAGTTCTCTGTGTTATGCTCATGCTCACAGAATAGACACCATTTGGACAGTAAACCCTGGCTTTATTAACACTAGCTGCGGGAACTGTTTCCTTAAAGAGACAGAGGCCACTTTTGCTCGCATTTTATTGGCCACAGTAAGTCATATAGTGGTCCTAACTAACTAACTTCACCAGAGTTGGGGGATGAATGGAGCTTAAGTGTAATCAGTAACTGCAAGAAGAACTAGAACTGTACGAATGAACTATAACACCAAGGTAACAAGGCCACATGTCTCTGAAGGTACTCATCACTTGGTTCTGATATCTAGATTTTTGTAGTATTAAGTTTTTGGTTTTTGTTTGTTTGTTTTTTAGACAGGGTCTTCCTCTTTCACTGAGGCTGGATTGCAGTGGCGTGATCATGACTCGCTGTAGGCTCAATCATGATCACATTTAGCTTCCTGGGTAGCTGGGGCTACAAATGTGTGCTACCATGCATGGCTACATTTTTTTTTTTCCCTACTTTTTCTAGAGACAGGGTCTCTGTGTTGTGTAGGCTGCTCTTGAACTCCTGGGCTCAAGTGATCTTCCTGCCTTGGCCTCACAAAGGGCTGAGATTATAAGCATGAGCCACTGTGGCTGGCCAAGTATTGTTTTTCATTCCCTTTTCTAATTGCTGTAGGTAAAAAGAAGTCACCAAGTACCTTTTGTATCTTTGTTTTCACTCTCTTCTTGTTGATATTCCCTTTCCCCACTCACATTCTCAAAGCCTTTAGTTAAGATCTTTCTATGAGGACAGCATGTCTTTGAGGAAATGCATTTTATTTTCCATGCATGTGAAATGTCCACTCTTCCATGGCCCTACAAGGTAGATATCCTCCCCCTACTCTCTTGCCCCCATTTCTTCTTCCTTAGAGGCAGTTACTTTCAACTGCTCACTGTTTGTTTTAGCATTGACCTTCCTATTTCCAATAAACTTGGTTTTCGGTTTTGTGAAAGTCGAAAATTTAGTTCTCTTTCATTTCTTTTGCCATCCCAGCTGCATGTTTCCTTACTTTCTATCTTCTCTTTCTCTCAACAGTTGTTAGGGTTTTGGTTAAATCATTATTCAGTATTTATTTCCTTATGAAGACATAAATTCTACTTCTAGCTGACCCATGGTGTATTCTTTGCTTTAAGTAATTTTAAAAATCATCAAATCTTACCAAAGATGGAACAAACTGCAGAGATTACTACTGAGTTCCTAACTCTAAACATATGTAAGAACAATCACCAATGTCTCTAACTGATTAAAAGCATAGTATTTCACATGTATAATCTTGTTTGTCTAGTGAGATAGAAGATATGGGAAAGAATTTAAGCATTGGCTATATGGTTAGACTTTTTGTGCTACAAAAATACATCCTAGGGGAAAAGAGTAATGTGTTAACACTAATGTCCAATTTAGTGTTAAAATAGTTAAATTGTAACCTGGAGGCCAGGAAAGATGATATTTTATGCTAGAATCTTTCAACTGTGCTTTTAGTGTTGTACAGTTTAATTAGGTTATAGTTATTTCATATATAATAATGAATATTCCCTTAGCCTCAGAAATGCATGCATTTTCTCCAGAATATGAAGAAAATAGTGGATGACCTATTTTAAAACATCCCCATTAATATCAAGTAGCTTTAATATAGGTAGGTTTAAAGTGGTTATAATGTATAATCAATTTAAATGTCAATACCCCTTATGTCATTAAAATTACATTTATATAGATATACCTCTTATAGTTCTTGCTTCTCACTTTGAGTTTTTCAACTCTTGACTCATTATTAAAAATTGATGGCAATTTTTTTCACTGTTTGATATATACTATCTCTCATGAACAGAATTATTAGGAAATAACCAATGAGTAATTAGTTTATTTTTCTTTTTCAGAAATACTGACTTGTTAGGGAGAGATATTTTGTGTTTATTGATAATATTGAATGAGCAGAGTAAATAATTTAATATGATTTTTCATACATTTCAAATTCTTTATCATTTTATTCTTTGCTAAAAAATTCTACCTTATCCTTATGAGTATATAGAAATAATCTTTTGTTGTTTTTTCCTGTTGCTTATTTTGAGATACTGAGCTTGCATTTGGAAGAGATTGGTCCTGTTTGAAATTTTAAAAATACTAAAACAAAATTTTCACTTATAGCTATGGCTGTTTTTATATTATACTAATTTTTGTAAACTTTCTTCTTTTAAATGTCGATAACATAGATCATCAGTAGAAAACTTCCTGAAGTTGTTCAAGAAAAATTGAAAGTTGTGTAATAGAAAACTAAGAGAATTAACAGCAGATACAGAGGACAGCATGGAAGTAAGTACACCAGGAAAGAAGATGAGAGGAGGGTATCTAGAACAAATTTGAGTTCGGAACATATAATTGAACTAAAGTATGAGTTGAAAAAGATATTTCATTTTTAAGCAGTATAAAGAAACCTAAGTGTTATACGTTATAAAATATGTATATTTAGAAGGAATGTTCTTCCATTGAATTTTTTTTTTTTCCTGCCTCAGGTTTATTTGTACAAGTAGCACAAGAGGACCCCAGACCCATGCAGATGGCAGCCTGGGGGGGTGGGTGGTTGCACCAGTCCTTCTGTCCTCATGTTGGTAGACAGAGATATCTACTCTGCAAGCCTTTTTAGGGGGCTGGGCACCTTTGGGAGCCTGAATTGAAACTGCAGCTGTGGCTGCAGCCTGGGCCTTGGTTTATTCCTTGGCCTTGGCCTTTGGCCAGCGGAGCCTGAGCCCCTTGACAGTGCAGGCGGGAGCACGCTTCCTAAGCTTGGGGTGGGCAATGTAAACAAGTCGATTAAGCTTGCAGCTGACACATTTTAGGATCTTGGGCTTAACCTCCTTGGGCTTTACAAGGGCCTTGATAGCCTCAGCACGTGCACTCGTGGCCTTGGCGTTGTTGGGCTGCATTTTCTTTAGGCCCTTCTTCTTGCGCTTCTTGGCAAAGAGCATGTTCCTCAGGAACATGGGATCCATCCCCTTAAGAGATTTCATATCTTTGTGATCAGGGTTTCTTGATACCATTTTTGTGCCATTTTCGGGACTGGTTGTGTGTGGTGTGGTTCTTGGACTTGGCCGTGTCTGTACCTAAGCCACAGTTCCCCTAATTCTGTTGTTTTAATAGGTTTCTTCTAGGGGATTTAAAGGAAAAAGAAAGTAAACTTATTAGGCATATTTTGGATGTCTCACTCCCATGTTAATGATATTAAATAATTATTTGATTATTTCTTATATTCAACTATAGGTAAAGAAAAACAAAATGTCCAATTTGAGAAATGGATTGGTTAATGTTTGAGAATTAATTTTAGAACCCTTGAAAATGACAATTAGCCTAGCATACTCTAGTAAAATCTATGAAATTTAAGATAATTAAGCATTTTTTAGATAACTTTAATATCTTTTCTAAGTATCAAAAATCAATAGTATTATCAAGTTGATGTTGTTATATATTGTCCCCCTTCAAATTTTTAATATATAGTAAAGTACTAGCAAAATCAAATGATAGGACTAATGACTTAGCTTTTTCTTTTTGTAGATTTTACTCCATTCATTCATTTAACAAATTCATTCAACAAACCCTTGTTGAATACCTTCTCTGTGCCAGGTGTTGTCTTAGGAAACAGAACACAGCAGTGAAGAAACAGACAAACTCTTCTGCTCATAGGCATCTGGGGCTGATGATGTCTTCCGGCTTCAGTGTGTTTAGAGTTGGGATCTCTTTTGCCATAATGTGCATTTTTTACATGCCAACAATAGACTCTTTACCAGAACTGAGCCCTCAGAAATATTTTAGTACATTGCAACCAGGAAAAGCCTCTTTAGCTTATTTTTGTCAAGCTGGTAAGTATTTTTAAAATTTGAATATGATTCTTGTGATGTTTTTATTGCTGTTTAATCAATAAGCACAGTGGGAGATTACTGTTAGGATTAATAATATGTGCTATACAGTTGTTACTATAATATGCCTGACTGGGTTTGAATCTAGCCCCTGCCACTTGGCCTGTGGTGTGACCCTGGTTAAGTCACTTAGCTTCTCTGTGTTTCTCTTTCGTCATCAATTCAGAAAGTATTGATGACGAAAGTACTTTATAAGTTTGTTGTGAGGATTAAATGAGTTTACTTATGTGCTTAGTTCATAGTAAATACTAGATAAGAATTGACTGCTAGTATAACATCTGAAAGAATACATTCTCATGTTTTTAGCATGTGACTATTTTAAGTTTTTTGAAACTTTAAATGTAGTACTGGTATTGCTTTAGATTAATACCCTGCTTTAGCTGCATTGTTAATTACACTGAATTAACTAATACAACATTGAACATAACTAATAATTTTTTAATAGTCAAATTCAAGTCTTCATGTCTTAAAAATGCTGTTCTTGGAATTAGTAAGTGAAGTGAGTACACATTTCTGTTGGCTCCCTTATTTTGCTTGTGATTTGAAAATGATATTTTAAAATCATTTTGAAAGTTTTTGTATGTGTACGTGTGTTATATATATGGTATTAAACTTGGAAGAATAATGCCAAATGTTACGTTTAAATTAAACACTTATTTATCATATTATTGTTTTAGGAAGCTTTTAAAATCTATTTACAAAGTTAAAATACATTATGATAAAAACATCAGAAATAAGAATAGTGAGGCAATAGTAAAATAAGGGCATGAAAACATGTGACGAGATATGTTTAGTCAATTATTTGTTCTTGTCTGCTAGTTGGACAAATGGATCTATTTCTTCTGTGTTTCAGATTTTAAGATTCATTTTTAGGGGGCATTTTATAAACATTAATGAAACAATTTTTATTTTAGATTCCCCAAGAACATCTGTATTTCTTGAAGAACTGAATGAGGCTGTTAGACCTCTGCAGGACTATGGAATTTCAGTTGCCAAGGTAGAAATATATTTATGTTAACTAAAATATTAGTGACAAACATCTTACAACTTTATGGCTTAAGACTGAATGTCTTAAAATACTTCTGTTTCATATGTTTTTCCAAACTGGAAATATATTTTTTTCATAAGAATAAACAGAAGCACAGAAAGATAGTTTCAGATTATTGCATAACATAGTACACATAGAGGGGACAAAAAGCTGTTTAAAAATTTTTAGCTTAGAATTTAACTTTATGTTGTAACCATTCTATTGGGCCTATGGCATCATTTTTCAAATCTATAGTTAGGTTTTTGTTGTTGTTTTATTTTGCCCAATGAATATTTCCTAGTAAGTAGCCACAGTTCAGCTGTTTTTAAGTTTTTATTAGCACAAACTGAAGTAACAAAGTGGAGGTAATTGAATAATTTTTTTCTATTCTTCTAAGTCTTTATAATTGTTTTTCACTTTTATTTTTAGAACAAAGTTATAACAACTCAACATTACATATTTAATTTTTTTTCTCAAAAAATGTTCAAACTTGCCATAGAGTATTACAGAAAATTTCCATATGCATCATGGATTAGACAGATATGTAAGCCTTTTAGTTAATTTATTTATTTATTTATTTATTTATTTATTATTATTTTTTTTTATAAAGAAGAGGAAGAAAGAGGAAGAGGGAGAGAGGATGGGGGTATTGCTTTATTGCCCGGGCTAGAATGCAGTCTAAATATAGGTATGCCTATAATTGTCCTTAATAATGGAGACATGAAAGAAAATGAGGGAAGAGAATAGCAAACAAGGAGCCAACCAAGATTTCTTTTAAACTTCTAAGTTGATATGATGTGGTACTGATAAGAGTGTATATTTTGTATATTTAAAGTGGAGAGTTCTATAAATGTTAATTACATTTACTTGTTCCAGATCTGAGTTCAAGTCCTGAATATCGTTGTTAATTTTCTGTCTCATTGATCTGTCTAATATTAATGTTGAAGTCTCCCACTATTATTATGTGGGAGTCTAAGTCTCTTTATGTCTTGTATGTCTGCTTATTCCTGTATTGGGTGCGTATATATTTAGGATCTTTAGCTCTTCTTGTTGTTGCATTGATCCTTTTATCATTATATAATGTCCTTCTTTGCTTCTTTTGAACTTTGTTGCTTAATTGTAACTTCTGCTTTTTATTTATTTATTTTAGCTCTCTGTTTGGTTGGTAAATCTTTCTCCATCCCTTGTTTGGAGTCTTTGTATATCCTTGAATGTGAGATGGATCTGGATGCAGCATACTGATGGGTCTTAGTTTTTTATTCAAATTGCCTGTCTTTGGATTGGGGGATTTAGTCAATTTAAATTTAGAATTAATAATAATATATGTGAGTTTAATACTGCCATTAGCTGGCTATTTTGTCCATTAGTTGATGTATATTCTTCATTATATTGATGATCTTTTTGATAATTTTTTTAGAAAGGCTGATACTGTTTGTTCCTTTCATATGTGTAGTGGTTCTTTCAGAAGCTCTTGTAAAGCAGGCCTGGTGGTGATGAAATCTCTGAGTGCTTGCTTATTCACAAAAAACTTTATTTTTCCTTCACTTGTGAAGCTTAGTTTGGCTGGATGTGAAATTCTGGGTTGAAAGTTCTTTTCTTTAAGGATGTTGAATATTGGTCCCCACTCTCTTCTGGCTTGTAGGGTTTCTGCTGAGAGATCTGCTGTAAGTCTGATAGGCTTCCCTTTGTGGGTAACCTAACCTTTATCTCTGGCTGCCCTTAGTATTTTCTCCTTCATTTCAACCCTGGTGAATCTGACGATTATGTGCCTTGGAGTTGCTCTTCTTGAGGAATATCTCTGTGGTGTTCGCTGTATTACCTGGAGTTGAATATGCCTTTTAGTTAATTTAAACTTAGAATTTATACATCAGACAACTGAATGAGGGGTAACCCACTGATACTAAGTTCTTTCAGGTTAATGTCTACCTGACTTTCTGTGTACATTTTTTCTTAGTTCATTGGCCTTCCTCTTCTAAGAGATGTCTATTGTCACTCTTGGTCTCTGCAGCTAGAGTTCCCAGAGCAGGAAGCATAAAAAGGTTAACTAACATTGGCTATATACTTCAAAAAATATCTATTTTTTAAATGTGTCAGTTCTGTATGTGTAGAGATCTCAATTAACTTTGAACAACTGATTTCACTCTAGAATGATAATGGCAATCATCTCCAAGGATCTCTGAATAAAATTTAAAATTGAAACTTAGAAATGACATAGTAGGTTGGTATGAAACTCAAAAGGAATAATCATACTGTTGATCTAGTAACTGGTAGACTGTAACTAGTAACTATGCATATAGTAACTGGAATAGAGTGTTAAAGTTCATGCCCAAGCCGTGTTGCCCTTGTGAACTAACATAACTGAAACTCCTGATTTTACAGTGAGAATGCTGAGCTCTATCTAAAAAGGAGACAGTGGCGAATGAGTTAAACCCTTGTTGAATGCCTAGCTCAGTTCCTGGCACATAGTGCTCAGTAAGTGTTTGTGAGATTGAAATGAGCTTACCATATTTAATCTTCTTTTGGATGGAAAGATGACTAAGCCCCTGTCCTTTTCTTTAGAGAGTTTATGTCCTAAATAGGGAGGATAAAACACATTCACAAATCATTTTAATAACTAGCAGAACCTGATCATTGTAATAGGAGAGATACAAATAAAGTGCCTTGGAAGTTTTTTTTTGTTTTTTTTTTTTGAGGCAGTCTCACTCTGTCACCACGCTAGAGTGGAGTGGTGTGATCTCAGCTCACTGCAACCTCCACCTCCGGAGTTCAAACAGTTCTCCTGTCTCAGCCTCCCAAATAGCTGGGACTACAGGCGCACGCCACTACACCCGGCTAATTTTTGTATTTTTAGTAGAGACAGGTTTCACCATATTGGTCAGGCTGGTTTCAAACTCCTGACCTCAGGTGATCCTCCTGCCTCGGCCTCCCTAAGTGCTGGATTACAGATGTGAGCCACCACTCCAGGCCCATAGAAATTTAAAGGAAAGAAAACCCATATTTGGTTTTGAGGTGAAAAGTCACAGATGGTATTGGGAAAGATTTCACAAAAATCAGCATTTAAGATTGTTTCAGAAGTTTGCAAGAGGCAGAGGTGGATGAAAAATATACTAAAATACAAATGGACTATATATTCTAGTCAAGACAATGAATGTCAAGCTGGATACAATAACCCAAGACAGCTGTATGGTATGTAGAAATGCTTCCAAAATAAAGGCTTCAGAAATCATCAAAATAAATGAAGGAAAAAATATATATTATACAAGTGATAACCAAAAGAAATCTAGTGTAGCTATATTACTATATCAAAGTAGATTTTAAACAAAAAGTCCTGTCATCCTTGACTTTTCTTTATCTCATAAGCAATACATGTACTACTTGGTTCTACTGTGAGAACTTTTCAAATCTGACTACTTCCTATACTTTCGTTTTTACTTCTTCCTACCATCTCTTCTCACTGGGGAAACCACACTAGCCTCCCAGTAATTGGCCTTTCTCCCTTCACTTTATCCCTTGACAGACTCTTCTCCATATGTAGCCAGATGTGTCAGGATACATCACTACCATGCTGAGAAAGTCCTTTGATTACAGTTATGATCAATTAGAAACTTTTGAATATTGTGGACACTGGCTTTGTCTCTGATCTCATTTTCTGACCTTCTACTTTATTCAGTTCTTTCTTAATACATAGTGGTCATCTTTCTGTTATTTGAACCTGCTAGAGGTGCTGTTACCACAGGGCCTTTGCAGATATTTTACCCTCTACTTAGAACTCATCTCTTTTACTTACTTGTATGTTTGTATGAATTACTCCATTTCTTCAGTTCTTTGTGCAAATGTCACCTTTTCAGAGATACCTTCCTTACCCTATCACATGCTATCCCCTTAGAACTTTTTGTTTATAGAACTGAATGCTACATGTTAATAAATGTTTAAATTGTCTCTCCTTTTAGAATATAAGTTCTAAAGCTAAATATTTTTATTTGTAACTTACCTGTACCCCAAGTGACTAGAACAGTGACTGACATATGGTAGACATTCAAGTATTTTGAATTGATGAATGAATGGACACATCTATTGTCATAATACCAGCCACCCTGATGCTCTAACTTAAAATTTTTTAAAATTACATATTAAAATTTATGTTTTGGTTATGGCTATACTCTGACTTTAACCCTGATTCTCTGTTTCTGGTTTCTTAGTGTCAGTTCCGGTTTTGTAGCTTTTTAAACAATTGTTGCTTTCCCAATTGTTATTCTTCTTCTTCAAATTCTATTAAAATTAAATTGAACAAGAAAATCCCCTCTTAAAAGAGACAAAAAACCTTAGCAAATACAAAACAAAATAACTGTTCTTCTAGTCTTAGTTTTGGTTAATGTTGGTGGCTACCTATTAGCCCCATCTAGAAACGCCTTCATTCTGTTTTTCTCTTTCCTCTCCTCCTCTATCCCAATCTGCATGTACACACTCAGTCTTCTCCCTAGTTTTACGTATTGTATTTGTAAAAAGCCTTTTGAATCTCTTCTGTCCTTTTTTGGCTTTACTTGTGGTTCAAGTCATCTGTGACCTATACTAATATGATATTCTTTTAAACTCTCTCCTTATCTTTGTGTTCTTTTGCTTTCTGTTGTATCTTCACGTTGTTGCCAAGATTGTTGTTGTATATTTTTTTCATGTAGAGTTCACAGGCATCCCCAAACTTTTTACACAGGGGGCCAGTTCACTGTCCCTCGGATCGTTGGAGGGCCACCACATACTGTGCTCCTCTCACTGACCACCAATGAAAGAGGTGCCCCTTCCTGAAGTGCGGCAGGAGCCGGATAAATGGCCTCAGGGGGCCGTAGTTTGGGGACGCCTGGTTCAGAGTATCAGCTATCCAGGGCTGGTATGGCTGGTCTGACATTATCATTGACTTAGTTCGTTCTTTCTGTTGGACCATCCTTAGCAAGTAGTGTTTTTAAAGAAGCCTTATGGTCCATGATTGCTGTTGGTACTCCAGCTGCCTTGTCTATTTTTGGTCAAGGAGAAGTGAAAAGAGGGAAATTATCTGTCAGCCCGCTTTTAAGAGCCTTTTAGGAGTTCCAACCAAGTGACTCCTCCTAACACCATTTAGCCATTGCAGGCTGTTGGGGAGGCTGGGAAAGCCTTTTAATGGAACATTTGCTTTTAGCAAAGTTCTGTTAGTAAACAAAATGGAAGGATGGATTTTGGGTGGGAAACCGGCAGTATCTGCTATCTCTGTGTTCTGCCTGCTGAGATCCTTTCATGATCCCAAGTTAGCGCTCACTTTTGTTCTTCCTGGCTTTTGCTCATACTTTTTGTCTTGCCTTAAATGTGTCCTTCCTTTTCTACCTGGTTACCACCTACTTGTTCCCTAAGATTTAATTCAGAAATAGTGCCTTTCTCTGGGTTATCTCATGCACTTAAATATGTGAGCAATTATAGCATACAAATCAGAAAAAAAAACCATAAAGTACAAAATTTGACCTGGAAACAAGCTGTAATGTTTAATTTTCCTTCTTGTTTCCCTAACCAAGAAATGTGACCTTTTGATACCTATGCTAAACCTTAAGTATACTCTTTTAAAGGTTAATTGTGTCAAAGAAGAAACATCAAGATACTGTGGAAAAGAAAAGGATTTGATGAAAGCATATTTATTCAAGTAAGCTATTTTTCTGAGTGTATTGAACAAATTAAGTCTATACTCCTAGAATATTCAAATATGTAAAATATCCCTGAGCTAGAATAAAGTTGTATGTAGTGGGAATCATGTAAAGTGTAACAAAAAGTTCAAGTAATAGATTTGTTACCTAACCTCTCTGTATTTTAACTTCCTTATTTATAAAATGGAGAGTAATACCTACCTCACAAGGTTGTTTTGGGACACTCTTGTGTAAGCTCCTAAACAAATGCCTGGTAAGCAAGTGCTTATCAAATTTAATGTTCTTGGTAGATATGTCTGGTCCATATTTGGGTGTGAAATAAATGTACTTTATATTTTGAGAGATCTGCCAATCTCTCTGCACTTGGATTTGATCTACCTGAGGTTTCTGAAATCCTTAGGATTTGGCTGAGGAAATGGGGAGAGGTCTTGCTTTCTCAGATACCTTCAGAGGATACTTCTTTTTCCTTCTTGCCTTCTTCCCAGCCCAATTTGGCTGGGGTGTGTGTGTGATGAGATTGGTAGGAATCCTTGTTTGAACTCATATTTTTTTCTAGTCTTTTTGCTAGGTCCAGAGACTAGGCTTTTCAAAGTTAATATGTTATTGAGAATGTATTATGTGCCAGGACTCTGGTAGGTATGTGGATAAAACACAAGCTGTAATATCAAAGACCTTTTAACCTAATGTATTTCATAGATAAGTAAATTGAATTCTAAGGAAATATTTCTGTGTTTTAAATGTGAATATGTTTTTAAACTTTTTATAGGGGCAACATACTGCTCAGAGAATTCCCTACTGACACCTTGTTTGATGTGAATGCCATTGTTGCTCATGTTCTCTTGTAAGTACAGGGGCTGTCCATTCATTTGTTTACTTGTTATCTATTGATTTTATTTTAAATAACCACAATTTGTAAATATTTCAGGGTTTTAACATTATATTTGTAGGCAACAATTTCACACAAATTACTAATCTATCTTCCCACATTGAAGATCTAAAATTTCTTTAATGGCAAAGGATACAGAAACATGAAGATACCTTTAAGAGTAGGAGATGACTCAGCAAGCCACATGGAGTGAAGTCCAACTGGAGGAGTGAAGATTTTGCCAGAAATCTTAGTTTATTGAGGCTGCTATAACAAAATGCCATAGACTGGGTGGCTTATAAACAACAGAAATTTGTTTTTCACAGTTCTGGAATCTGGAAGGTCCAAGATCAAAGTACTGGTACACAGATTTGGTATGGGATGATGGCTCATGGTTTATAGATGGTCAACTTTTCCCTGTGTCCTCACATAATGAAAGGGATGAGGGAGCTCTCTAAGGGTCTCTTTTATTAGGGCACTAATCTCATTCATGAGGACTCTGCCCTTATGACTTCCTAATATCATCACATTGGTAGTTAGGATTTCAGTATATGAATTTTGGGGAGACACAAACATTTAGACCATAGTACCACGTAGGAAGCTTATCTTTGTTTTTTGTTTGTTTGTTTTTGAAATGGGGTCTTACTCTGTCACCCAGGCTGGAGTGCAATGGCATGATCTTGGCTTCCTGCAATCACCACTTCCTAGGCTCAAGGATCCTCCCACCTCAGCCTCCTGTAGCTGGGACCACAGGCATGTGCCACTCATCTTTGTTATTCTCACAGGGATTTTTTAAGTACCTAGCTTTCTTCTTATCCCAGCTGGATTTCTTTCTGGATTCTCTAGCTCTGTGCCTGCTCAATTAGTACAGAAAGAGTTCATCCAAGCACATACCTGAGTGTTGACTGAGAGAGGAGGTTTAAGTTTTCTGGCATGGAATCTTTAGGCCAGGTATTTAGGTCTATCGGGAGTCCATTCCTGCAATCTACCCCTGAATTCAGTCTGATAATCTCTTTGGTCAGAAAGCTAGAAAATACGACTTGTTAAGAACACAGGTTTACATGGACTTTTCCAATTTAATGTTGTAAGCTTATTGTCCAGTAAGACCTTTGCCAACATTGGCTGTCTTTTTCTGCTTGGCTCTCTTCCTCTCTTAGCTACAAAAATTGGTAGTTTAACTCCTGGACATGCAAAGCTTATAGGTGAAAAGTTGTGCTTATCACTTTACAAATGTTCCAGTCCAAATAATATGTTAACAAAATGCCTTTAGAAATTCCTGGCAACCATGGACCCTGATACTTGCAGACTAATAAGCCAATTGTAATGAGCGAAAATGGTCTTTTGAGGAAGGAATTCTTTGGAATCCCTTTCCTGGGACAAACGGGTGACTATTTTGATGGTGGGGGCTCTCTGAAGCTTAGCAAAAAGTCCAAGTAATAGATAGGACATTTGTTCTCAGGAAGCTTACTAGTTTAGTTGTTTTTCCATTGGATACCTGATGACTATCTTTGACCCAGAAATGGGGTTGAAGAAACAGAAAAATAAGTCTTTTCATAAAGTATGAATCCAAATTTGACACCAAATCCTGGAGTGGCATGTCCACATTGAACAACTTGATGACAAGGTGATTTTGAAACCTCTGGCCATGGATATGGAGAGGCTGTCAGTTCTGAGGACCCTGTTAAAGAAACTGGTTAGCCTGCGAGGCTTATCTTATTCAGTCCTGCTTTGGTAGTGTCCTGTTCTTAGTGCTGTACTAATGCTGATTTATAGAACATGAATTCCACAAATAGATTATTCCCCATGTTCCTGCTGTGTGCCAGATACTTGTTAGACATTGGCTATAAAAAACAGAATGGGATGCGGTTTCTGTTCTTTAGGAATTTAGTGTTGCACAGGCAGATACAGAAACAAAATATTATTAGTATGTGGTAAGTAAAATAGTAGAAATATGTTTGCATAAGGGCTAGTGGATCCACAGAGAAGGGAATAGTTACTAATGTCTAGAATGAGGGTGGCTATTTATTAAGTGAGCTGGCGTCCTGAAGGAAGTGGCAGTTGCGTTGAGTGTTAAAGGGTAAGTGCTTGGTAAAGAAGGGGAAGGTGGGAAAAGCAAGAGGAACTTTGTGACAAAGACATAGAGCAGCCACGTTCAGTCTTTTCTTTGGCTTCCCTGGGCCACATTGGAAGAAGAATTGTCTTGGGCTACATGTAAAATATACAAATGACAGCCAATGAGCTAAAAAAAAAAAATCACAAAAATATCTCATAATATTTTAAGAAAGTTTTCAAATTTGTATTGGGCCACATTCAAAGCTGTCCTGGGCTGCATGCAGCCCATGAGCCACAGGTTGGACAAGCTTGTCATGGAAGTTAGAAATAGTTGGGAGAAGGTAGTTTTGCGAGAGTATAAAATGTGAAACAGGAGATAAGAGTAGAAACGTAGACATGGGATCAGAGGAAGCGAATTTTTGTTTTCTCTCTGTATAAGTTTAGGCTTTTGGGTAGTCACTGAAAAGTGAGGAGTCCAGATCCAGGCCAAAATCCTTATGTGATATTTTAGGCCTCACTATATGTAATTCCAAGGCTATGTGTGGCAAACCTCACAGGGGGAAGCTCCCCTCACCATCCCACACTTGGCACAGAAGCAATGCATTGCAGTTTTCTAGAGAAAATTGAGGTCAAGGACATAGGCCCATCCCTCTCCTAATCCTTTAGGCCCCATGCTTATATGTACGTCTGCATTCTTAGCCCAGCTGCCTCCACTTTGAGGCCTCCTTATCAGAGCCCTTGGCTAAGGTGCTTTTCTCCTCTTTGAGTCAGGGTCTTCCCACTCTTACCCCACATCCTTTTTGTTACCTCAAGTCCATGGGTCCATAAAGAAGTGGGGCCTGTTGTTTGGGACTCCTTGGAATGAGATGATTCCTTGTGTCTGCACTGCATCCACCTGATCCTTGCCTGTGGTCAATCCGATGGGTGAAAAATGTCACATTGTGGAGCCAGCATCTCTTTTTGCCTCTTGCTTGCACTTTCCTAGTAAGTGAATGAAATCTTGATTATTACTTTTAGTTCAGCTTGTTATTCTAATTGACCACTTGTAGGCAGGCAAGCGATGTGATCAGATTAGTATTTGAGAGATCATTCTGGTGGATGTGAGATACATCTGTGGAGTTTGAGCACATGTATAAATCATTCTGTGCCCACTGTATAATCTAGGAATCTATAGTCTAGGTAGGTTTCCTAGATTATACAGTGGGCACAGAATGCAAAGGGGGGATTTTCTTTTTAATGCTTAGGAGGTGAAGTTAGCTGGACTTGGTAATGGTTAATTTGGTAACGGTCAGTAAAACTACAAACTTATTAATTCTTTATCTCTTTTCCTTCTTTCGTACCTCATGCTACCCAGATCTAGTATGATCACCATCTGAAATAGGCAAGGAAGAAATGCAAATTTACAGAGTATAAGTCTACTTTAACAAGAGTAACGTCCGTCATGTCTCAGTCCGGCATCTATAGGAATCTGAGCCCCTGAGTAGTATACATCGAGGTCTTGTCAACATATAGGTCAGCCAGGGAGCATTCTAGGGCAACACTACCACTTAAGAGAAGAAGCTGAGAGGAAAAAAATAAATGTCAAGGAAGTGGAATTCCAAAAAGGCAGTGTCCTCATTTTTGTTTAAAATTTAAGAAAATTACTTATATAAGACAGCATTTTATAAAATTTCCCAGTAATGATATTTACCATATTGAATAACTATGCCAAAGAGTATGCTGTCTCATAGCTGTACCTTGCAAACTGCCATTAGGAAAAAGCCTGTCTTCTTACTTTTGTATGGTAGAACCATCAGTTTGAAATACCCAGTGCCTGGCTAGCAGTTTTTTTTTTTCTCTGTTGTACTGTTAACAGTTGCATAGTATTCATAAAAATGGATTTGAATTGTTGCTTGACAACTTTTGCCTGTTTTATTATTATGTTTTAAACTTTATTTATTTTGGGGTGGGATCTTGCTGTGTTTCCCAGGCTGGAGTGCCTTGGCAATTCACAGGAGCAATCATAGCCCACTGTGGCCTCAAACTCCTAACCTGAAGGGATCCTTCCACCTCAGCCTCCTGAATAACTGGGAGTACAGGTGCACACCACCACACTCAGCTTAAACTTTGTTATTTTCTAACAACTCTCCTTATATAAAGCACAAACTGTAAACAATTTTTTCAAGTTTTTAATTGATCTTTTGCATTTCCCTATTGTGTTCTTAAAAAAATTATGTGATCAAATTTATTTTTTCTTTTTTGACTTCTGGATTTTAAGTTGTACTACCTTTCCCTTATTCCATTGTTATAAATAAATTCACCCATTTTTGGGATTTTAGTTGGTAGACTTTGTTTCTTAGAGCAGTTTTAGATGCATAGAAACTTGAAAAATTTACAGAAAGTTGAGCAGGTAGTACAGAGAATTCCCATGTGTCTCCTCCTTTATATATAGTTTTCCCTATTATTAACATTTTGCATTAGTGTGGTACAGTTGTTACAATTGATGAACAAATATTGACATACTATTATTAACTAAAGTACATAGTTTACATTAAAGTTCACTCTTTGCACAAATGTATGACACATTTCTATCATTAGTGTCATACAGAATAGATTCACTGCCCCAAAATGCCCTGTGCCTACTGATTCATCACTTACTCTCTCCCCTACAAACCTGTGCCTACTGATTCATCACTTCCTCTCTCCCCTACAAACTTCTGATCTTTTTTTTTTTTTTTTTTTTCTTTTTTTTGAGATGGAGTCTCGCTCTGTCACCAGGCTGGAGTACAGTGGTGCAATTTTGGCTCACTGCAACCTCCACCTCCCGGGTTCAAGCAATTCTCCTGCCTCAGCCTCCCAAGTAGCTGGGACTACAGGTGCATACCACCACGCCTCGCTGATTTTTTGCATTTTTAGTAGAGATGGGGTTTCACCGTGTTAGCCAG